GAGAGGAGACGAGGGCAGTGGCATTGGCAATCGCTTTGGAGATAAAGGAGGAGGAGGAGGAGGAGTAACAACCCAAGTTTTCAAATACCCAAAAATCACAACTTAAATTTTTTTTCAAACAAAGCCCATCCACGGTGAGTGTACATATTAGGAAACCACCTTGGTAGTTGCACAAGTAGATCCCAAAGTAGTATGTTGAGCATTTGCATTTAAACAACATGTAAGTTACTTCTTCTTGATTTTATGTGATGCAATAAAATCAATCAAACCTTTGTGCTAAGCATGTTGTGTGTGTTGCAACCCTTGGCTTTGACCCTAATACCCTAGTTGACCCCTAGTGGACCCCATAAGGGTGTATACATGCTTGGCAACACATGTATCCATGCATAGGAGCCCAAGGCTTTAATTAGAAAATAGAAAAGGGTTTAGGTTGGGAGAAGAAATAGGAAATAGCAAAGCAGCCCAGCAGCCCCCGACCTGCTTTGCCCACACGGCCCAGCTGCCGTCGTGGCCCAGCTAACGCGGCCCATGCCCATGCCCGCATCATGATGTGCCACCGTCATTTTCCCCACTGCCGCTGATGAGCAGGCCCCGCTTGTCATCCCCCACCTTTCCCCCTCTCCTCTGCTTTTTCACCCGAGGCAGAGAGCCCCACTAGCGAGCATCCGAGGCCCCGCCTCGCATCCTCGTCGTCCGCCTTTGAGCCGATGGGCACAAGCGCATGTATGGGCACCATATCCATGATCTATGGCTCGCCAGCCCACCCCAGATAGCGCCATGCCTTGTTGACATTGCCGCTATGGCCCTATTGCCATGACGCCAACCGTGATTCCCTTTTGACCGTCGACGTCCGGTTTTGAGAGCGACAATCACCCGTGCTCCCCCGCCGAGCCCAAAACCCTAACCTAGAGCCCTTATCCACCCTACATGTGGTCTTCCACCTCTCAACCGCCATCCACGGCCCAGCCATGGCCGCACCCACCTATAAAAGGGCCCCCTAGAGCCCTAGCGCCCTTCCTTCACCCCCGTCGCCACTCTGTGGCAACCATGAACCTCACCAAACCAAGGAGAATGGAGAAGGAAAGGAGGAGGACGACCACACCGCTAGAGCCGTTCGAAGTCACCGAAGATGAGGATGACGCTGATCATCTTCTTCCCCATCGTGGTTTGGCATGGCACTACTTCCTGTCACCATGGCCATGACTTGTCACTACACTGCTAGCCTATCTCCTACGCCACCACGGTGAGCACCCCGAACCCCCCCTTCTTGCTTGTTGTCATGATCTCGCCATGGCCGTCGCCGCATTCTCTCTACCTGGGAGAGTCAAAGGCCAGACCTTTGGCCTCTGTACCACACCACACGCACCAGGGCACGTACATGGCCAAGACTCGGCCTTGCCAAGTGCTGGATGCTCAGGAACACCGATGTCTTGTGACGCGCACCCGCACGGTCGCCATGGCCGAAACCCACCATGGCGCCACCTTGTTCTGACCACCTCACGCCAGTAGAGGTTCCTAAGATCCCGTGGTTGTGACCGCCTTGTTGTGGGACGCGTAAAGCCGCTGTCTTTTAGCCAAAGAATGCCCCGGAACTACCCTTGATGTCTGCCTCACCGGTGCAGTCGCGCACCAGAGCATCGCCGTGTCGTGAGCGTTCTCGCTGATTCTGGCCACCTCGTGAGACAAGGAGAGGCCGATGATGTTCGCCATCACCCCATGAGCCCCACCGCGTAGTTGGCTTCCCCTTGGACCCGTCCTTGCCCTGTAGCCGTCGTAGCAGCGAGCCACCGGAGCTTCGATGGGACCACCGCATCACCGCGAACTCCGTCGAGCCCTTTGGTCACCGCCGTTAGGTTAGGTGACTCGTCCATAAACCCAATCTAGGGAAAAGAGCCTCCTTTGGCTCCCTTTTGGCTGCGAGCCACCTCGCCATGGCTCACCATCACCATTGGAACGTCATCGCCATGGCTAGCCATGCCCAAGCCACCACAGCCATGCCGGGATCCATAGTTGCGTCCGCCGAAGCATGGGGAAGCCGGTGAAGCCTGCTAGAGTTTTCCCATGTGCCTAGAGACCTTGCCGTCGACCTCGCATCGTCATCCTCAGCCATGGAGTCTGCGTCGAGCGCTAAAGACTCCAAGGCCTGGCCTTTAGCCCACCGGTGAACTCACCGTGAGCCCACGAAGCCATAGAGCACTTTTGCCACCCCACTAGACCGCCGGAACACGCAGCCGCGTGAGCTCGCCATCGACGAAGGGAGCGGCCGAGGAGGAAGAGGGAGCCACCGCGCCCTTGCGCCACTCGGTGCACCTGGGTCACCGTGAACTGGAGAAATGAGGAGGAGTGGACGCGGTCCACCGTGGGCCGTAACTGCAGTCCATGGACCCACGCTGCGCAGTCCACCGTGAGACGCGCACGTAGACACAAGCCCATTAGCAGCCCACCAGCGCCACATGGATGGTCTGGGAGGATGACACGTGACCGGGCCAGGCCGGCCCAACTCGGCCCAATATCCGGCCCGCTAAGCCCAGTCCGAGCCTAGTCAACGCTGACCGTTACCGACCCCACCTGTTAGTGACTCATGCCATTTTGACCAACCAGAGCGCACCACGTGTCAGCCTAGGTTTATTTATTTTCTTTTTCTTTTATAGAAAATGATTTAAACATAGAAAATTCATAGGAAAATCCTCTGACCTCAGAAAAATGTGAAACCAGAGTCCAAATTTTTCTAAAAACAAGCTCTACGTCTTAGGCTTGTGTTGAGTGCATCTAGATCTTTTAAATTTCTGTTGCTTCTTTATGATCATCTGTAGGAGTCGCTTATCGCGGCTATATGTCTCGTTTGGCAGACCCGGAGGATCCGCGGACTGAGGAGGACTACGACTACACCGACGACCTAGGAGACGACCTACCTGCAAGTGCCACGTCCCACCCAACCTCGTATAATCCTATTAGACATGCAATGATGTATCTGCTAGTGCTCTATTTTTATGCAATTGAACTATGATAGGTTGCATGGTAGATCTACTTGAAGCCTTTACCTTGTCGCAACCTTTACCCCTACACACCCGCTGTTAGGGTAGATGCTCGCTTCTACTTACTACTTGCTTCTACTATGCATTATATCTATGATGTGATACTTGGTGGAGGATTATTTGTGAGTGGCTAAGGCACATAGTGCCAATAATATGGTAATAACGTGATAACAACTTGGGGAGATCTTGGCGTGCATCTTGGGTGTGTGGTGAGGGTTGAGTCGACTAGATAGGATTCTATGACAAGTCTTTGGACAAGTCATGCCGGGAGGATGCGACCTGGGCATTCCCTACGATAGGTACCTATGGTGGGTACATGTGAGATGAGGAGGTCCCGGGGTGGAGTGTCTTGTGGGATGAAGCCCCGAGATGGAGGTGCCATCGAGACACGGGCGTTGGTTGGCCCCTTAAGAATATGTCCTGTCTGGTCCTCCTAAGGCCTGGTATGTCGAGAGAACCGGATCATAGGACTCTTCGTACACACCACTCGTCCTTGTTTGGGTGGGGGCGGATGTTGACCTGCTAGGGCGGTGCCACTACTATTGGGTTGTTAGCGGATAGTGTAGGGAGGTACGGGCATGGGACCCACACCCTCCTAAGACAGCGTAGTAACCTTTGGGGGCCGGTACTACGCCTCACAGTCTCAGCGTGCCGGTGGAATCTGGGGTGGCCCAGGGCTGAGTGGCAGGGTAGTATCGCACTAGTTTGGAAGGCAGCCCGGTATCAGCCTAGGCGGTGCACGCGCCGATGATGGTGATCTTGTGGATTTCTAGGTGTACACGCTCTACAGAGTTGATCGATCTATACGTATAGCCGCGTCCACGGATATGGACATTCCTATGACCTACACTTTCCTTAATTAGAGAGTGGAGTCTTTTCTCTTCTTCCCCCTAGGTTGGAGTTGTTTCTGCCTTTGGTCGTTGAGGCAAGGCACGAGAGGGAGTTGTCATTGCCGCCTAGAAAGTGAGAGAGGGTGAGATGTGTGTGATGGGATGGAAAAACGTGTGTGGATGAGACAGGTTAAAACTTGATGAAATAATATAAAACTTGATTACGCTTGCACAGGAAAAACCACAGCCTAAAGTAGGTCTTTTACTCTACCCTTGCATTCCACTACCACAAAGCAAACGCAAAGCATAGGGTGGGAGCTAGTAGTCAGTACAAATCATACTGATAATTGTTTGGCAGGTGACAAACCTGAGTACGACTACCAGGAAGACTATTGGAAAGATTAGAGGTCTTGTTCTTCGCTCGAGTTTGGTTTGTGAAGATGATGTCGTCGTCCGCTGCCGTTCTACTTGATATTGTTCCACATGCTGCGTGCTCTAAGTGATTCCGCCAAGTGGCGATGTAATAATGAGTAAACATTGCTATTTGTACTCTCCATAGCATAAATATTCGATGTATGACTGTGATATTGACTATTATTCGATAACGTGATGGCATGATTATCTGGGACTATCACGTTATGTTTTGATTCTATGGATCTCCCTTCGTGAAAATCAGGATTGTTCCATGGAGGCGGCGGTGGTGGCATCAGGACAGGTAGTGCCCCCATATGAGGTGTCCGCTCCGGAGGGGGGCATCGACTACGACAAGCTGGTGGACCGGTTCGGGTGCCAACGCGTCGACACCGCGCTCGTCGACCGCATCGCGCACCTGACGTCCCGACCGCCACATCGGTTCCTCTGGCACAGGATCTTCTTTGCCCACAGGTGACGCGCACCCTCCTTTTTTTCAATTCTGCAGCTGAAAATAAAGGCGAAATTTTGCAGTCGATCGATCAGCTATCCTTTATGTACTAAGTTTTTTTTGGTTGCTCGCGTACGTGGATGAGGTGGTGGGGACTGAATTGCTGATGTTTTTTTTTCTTGGGTAGAGATTTGAACAAGATTCTAGACCTCTACGAGACGGGGGAGAAGTTCTACCTGTACACGGGGAGGGGACCCTCATCCGAAGCGTTGCATGTCGGCCACCTTCATCCCCTTCATGTTCACAAAGTAAGCATTGCTCCAAAGATCTTCCTACTGCTTGATGCATATGCTTTGTGTTTGAGCGAGGAAGTGGTGTGTGTACTTTGTAACTTTTGGGATCCGTTGATGATTACTAGAAGTTGCTCCTCATTGAGCCTTCAAAGATTATTGTTCCTCACTGAGCCTTCAAAGATTATTGCTGTATTCTTTGTGGTTTTTGAACTGTTTCCTGTTGTAGTTAATTATTACATGGTTATTAATAGACTTTGCAATGGGATTAAGAGGAAGACATGCAGCAAAGTCTGTGCAGTGAAAGCTTTACTGGAATATTTCATTGTACAATTGGTTCCTTAAAAAAATAAGAGATTTTAAATATTTATTTTTACACTGTTGGGTTGGGTAGCATGCTGCAGAAACTGTCAGTTTCTTGGACATAAATAAGCCCCATTCCATAGTCTATACGCTCTCTCTATGCGTCGTCTACACTGAAGAACTGCATTCTTTGGTAAATCTTGCGTTATAGTATGAGCTACTATTGTATAAGTATCTATGAATAGTGTTTATTAACGATCAAGATCATTTGTCACTTTGTCAGGTATTTACAGGATGCTTTCAAGGTGCCCCTAGTGATACAGCTAACTGACGATGAAAAGTTTTTGTTTAAGAACTTGACTATTCGGGAATGTAAAAGGCTTGCCTGTGAAAATGCCAAAGACATCATAGCATGTGGATTTGACATTGAAAGAACTTTCATTTTCACAGATTGCGATTACGTTGGAGGGTAAGATCACTCTTCTTAACTGTTCAATTATAAAGTATAAATGTTTGACTGGTCCTTTCTGTTGTTACTAAGCAATTTAAACGCTCGTTTTTATTCTATGGTAAACTAATAATCCTTTATCCTTCTCTTGCAGGGCATTTTATGAAAATAAACTTGAAATTGCCAAACGTGTGACATTTAACAATGTGAGAACTGTTCAATTAATAAGATCAGTATTTGTGAATGCTAAAGAGCTTGAATCAAGTGTCATTATTTTCTAATACTATTACTCTTGGAGAATTAGGCCCGAGGATAACGTTGTTGGTAAGCAGCATGTTCGTTTGGTTGTGGCTTGTCGTAAACGATCGTAAATTTTCAGTCGGAATAGTATTTTTCTCTCACATAAATTAGCCAGCAGTACTTCTTTACGAACTAGCAACGAAACGAACTAGCCAACCGAACAAGCTAAAGGTCATTTTTCCTACTATGCAGGCTGCTCCATCATTTGCATCATCGTTTCCCCATCTCTTTCCTGGCAATGACCAGCTGCGGTGCCTTATCCCATGCGTAATAGACCAGGTACAATATCTCTGGTCTAATCTCGACAGCACAGCGAAGTGGTTGTGTATCTACTTGCTACCATATTGATAATATATCTGGCAGCACAAAATTCGAACTTAGTTCTTTTTAAATTCTTGTATATATATTTCCAGCACTAAATTTCAAATATGTCCCACCTACACAAACCAAGTTTTGATTTAGGAAGCAAACTTTACCATTTAAAGATACCCATATCTGTACCAGATACGGGTATGGCAACCTTTGGAAGTATCAGTCATTAATGCTAGCAATAACACAACTAGCATCATATATACCAAGCCTGCAATAGACCAGTACAAACAAATTTTGGTGTTACAATCTTTACAGTATGATATAATTGGCTACATTTCTGCTTGTTGGCACTACAATTTAGAGATGTAGATTTATCTGATAAAGAAATTTTGGTGTTACAATCTTGACAGTATGAAATAATTGGCTATATTTCTGCTTGTTGGTGCACTACAATAAAGAGATGTAGATTATATGGTAGCACTGACTTTTTAACTAAAGCTTGTTGAGTTCAAGTTTTTACTTGATCTGGATCTTGTCCGGACATATTCAGTAAATTGGACAGTATTATTTTAGTGATCTACTAATCATGTCGGGACATATTCAATAATTTTGGCAATTTATTTTAGCGATCTATTATCATGAAGCATATCTGATATATTTTCAATAAAGGTACTAGAATTTTCACACATATCTGTGTGTTTAGTTTGGCAAGTTTTGAGTTGTGTATTTAATTTTATTTATTTATGTGCAGGATCCTTATTTCAGGATGACTCGGGATGTTGCTCCTAAAATTGGTTTTCAGAAACCTTCACTAATTGAGTCAAGATTTTTCCCTGCGCTTCAGGTATTTCTTTTGGGGAGAGCATGGGTTTAGGGCTGAACATAACAGTTTGTGCAATATGAACATTTTTAATTAACCTGCTCAGCTTTTCTGTTTATTTTGAATGGTCATAATAAGTGGATTACTTTATGCGAGTCCCTTTTAACAGGAGGAGAGCACAAAAATGCCCGCCGGTGGACCCGAAGTCTGCAATATATGTGACAGATAGTTCTAAACAAATAAAGACAAAGGTTTGTCCAGAGCTATGTTTTCATCTGTAAAAATAGCTACCCGACAATCATACGATTTGATCTGCCAAAAAAACAATAATACGTTTTAGTCAAGACTCATAAAAGTTATATCCATCATTTCACAGGTGAATACATATGCTTTCTCTGGTGGCCAGGACTCTGTAAACCTCCATAGGGAACTCGGTGCTAACCTTGATGTAAGCCCTTTCTGTAGTATTCATGAGCAATATTGAATACTAAGCTAATATGGTAGAATTATGCACTGTGTTCTGGTTTTTGCTTCGATACAGAAATTAGATCTGAAATAATACATGAATTTGAATGATCAGCATAAGCTACCGTTCTAGTTAATGCATGTAGTTAGAACCTCTTCATACATATTTCTTGATGAAGTCTTTCATTGTCACATTTCAGTGCTAACATAACATGCTGAAGATTTTATATAATTTACCAACATTATTCGAGTTAATTCCTGTATTTCTTAAGAACACAAAACCGATCTGTGAATTCATGCCTTGTTCAGGTGGATGTTCCAATCAAGTACTACATTTCTTCCTAGAAGATGATGATGAGCTTGAGCACATAAAGAAGGTGCATTTTTTCATGCTGGAAAACGAAGTTGCACTTTTTTTCTTTTTGATTGAAAGACCAAGTTGCACTCCAACTATGAAACTCATTATTTACTATGAAGCTTATTTGGAGATGAGTCATTATAATTCTTTTTCTCTTTGAAATATGCCATGACACTACTCCATAATGTTACTGTAGGGGCGGCTCTAGGCTCTAGAGCCTCTGTAGGGGCGGCTGCGCTAGCCGCCATTCCCAGGGTGTTCCTACAGATGGTGTCTCTGTAGGGGCGGTTTCCTGACCGCCCCTGCAGTGCCCTCTGTAGAGACGGCTGATGTTTTCAGTCGCCCCTACAGTGCCCTCTGTAGGGGTGGCTAGTAATATCAGCCGCCCCTGTAGTGAACTTCTGTAAGGACAGCTGTATCACCAGCCACCCCTGCTGTGTGTATTTGTAAGAGCGGTTCAATCAAGAACCGCCCCTACAGTGGATTTTCTAGCAAAAAAGAATAAATAATTCAAATTCAAATCTGACCATATATATATATATATATATAATTCAAATTCGAATATGACCGTCACAAATATCCATATATACATCCACAAAAATTCAATGCGTAACCATTGCTGCATTCAATTCATAGACCAAAAAGAAGTACCACTAAAATTCTGCAGAATCATCCACCAACAACACGCAAATTATTTGTACGCAGCCCCAGAGGCTTGCCGCCTATATACAGCTACAGCCCCGCATTTCAACAACAGAGCGTTAAACACTACCACTTGCTGCATATACAGCTACAGCCCCGCATTTCAACAACTGGGCGTTAAACGCTACCAGGTCATAAGTTAAGAGTGAAAAAAAAAGTTCTGCAATCTAAAGTATGTATAGGAAAGCAGTCACAACATGCTTATGAGAGGGCGCTGATTCTGCCCCATCATGGAGAGCGCAGCACACGGTGGCCTTGTGATGACCCTGGTACACCCTGATGGCCTCTCCGGTTGACATCGTCCATAGCCTCGCTGTGGTGTCTGAAGAAGCTGCAAGAGAGAACAGACCGGTTAACTGTGCAACTGATGAATCATCGGGGAAGGCAGAGGGCAACACGGTATAGTTCATACCTGTTATCAGATAAGCACCATCGACCGAGAATACACAGTCCCAAACCCAGCGTTGATGGCCTAAGAAGTTGATTGCCAGTGATGTTTTAGGATCTCATTCGGAAACATAAGATGAGTATGAGATCGAGAATTGTTAAAAGAAGACTCCAAACATTACCGACTAAAGTTCTTTCCAACTTGAAGCCATCAACATTCCAAATCTTTACAGTGTGGTCAGATGATGCTGTGGCAAGATACCTGCAAACAAACCCAAGAATGTCACATGGAACCCAAGAGGACACAATAATACACTAGAAGAACCATGACAAAGGGTTCGGTTGAACCCTAACTTCGATCCCTTCGGATCTGAGAAAAGAAGAGGGTTCGGATGAACCCTAACCCTAATCGGGTTAAGCAAATGAGAAAAGAAAAGGGTTCGGATGAACCCTAACCCTAACCCTAACCCTAACTGGGTTAAAGAAGCAGGGCTCGTTTTCATGTCAAAATTGAACCCTAAAACCCGAAATAAATCCGAGAAAAAGAAAACAGTGAAACCCCATCCCCAAACCCTAACCCTAATCCCCAAATCGGATGAAATCCGAGAACAAAAATGAAGAAAAACCGAAAGGGGAAGAAGTGGAAGGGGGTGGCCTACCTCGCCGCTACGCAGCGCTGCTCGCACGCCGGCGCGTGGGGAAAAGAAGACAGGCTCGGGGGCGCTGCTCGCCGAGCTCCGGCCAAAGAGGCGTCATGGCCAGGCCGCTCGACGGCGGCGCGCTCACCCACTGGGGAGTGCGCACGCCAGCGAGAGGGCCAGCGACGGCGCCATGCCTCCCGCTCCACCGTCGTTGCTCTCGGCCTCTCACTCGGTGACTGCTGCTGCTGTACTGAGGAAAGGAGAGAGAGCGACGAGAGAGAAGAGAGAGCGGAGTGAGGCGAAGAGAGAGAGGGCCGGAAAGAATGAACTAGGGTTTTCCTCGGGGGCGCGCTGCGTCGAGTTTTATTCCAAGCGAAACGCGCGGGTCGCCGTCGGATCTGGATGGACGGTTGAGATTGAACGGGCCAGCGTCCCGGCCCAGGCGGGCGCGCGGAGCTTTGCCGGCCCAGGCCCAGGTTGCGGCCTGGGTGCGGCCTACGCGCGCGTGCAGTGATGGGCCAAGCCGATTTTTGCTGGTTTTGGGCCGAAACAGTAAAGAATGAGCCCAATTTTCGTTTTTTCTTTTTTCCAGAAAATTGAAAAATAGAAATTGGCTCAAAAGAAAATAGAAAAGAGGATTTTCCTGTGGGTAAAATTCATCAAATTGAATTATTTTCCGCTGCGTATTCAAAGATGTTATTTTCATTATTAAATTCGAACCAACAGGAGAATTTAATTTTAAAAAATGGATATGTTTTAATTGATTATAATATTGTTATTATTCTGACCAATGTATATTGTTATTTCCTGTGGGTAATATTGTTATTGCGACCATTGCCCCACCGCTATCCGCCTAGCCGGCGCTCTTTAGTCGCCCGTGCCCAGCGTCCACGCCTGTCTCTGCACACGCCGGAGGAAGTACATGTCGCCACCCGTGCCCAGCGTCCTCGCCTGTCTCTACCCACGCCACAGGGAGTACACGCCACCGCCCGCTAGGGTTTGGTTGGAAGATCTATAACTTTTATTTTGGTCATCTTGTCATTTGACAAAATTTTAACCTTTCAAATTTGAAATTTTAAAAATGACAAGTTCGAACCAAAATTTGAGACCCAAAATGATTTCAACATAAAAAGTGATGAATACCAAATTTGTTCAACTCATTAATATTTATAACTTTTATTTTAGTCATCTTGTCATTTGACAAAATTTGAACCTTTCAAATTTTAAATTTTGAAAAACGACAAGTTCGAACTAAAATTTGAGACCCAAATTGATTTCAACATAAAAAGTGATGAATACCAAAGTTATTCAACTCATGAATATCTACAACTTTTATTTTGGTCATTTCTTCATTTGACAAATTCTTAGCACACATTGTTCACTAATCTTACACATGTCTCATATAGTTTATAAAACCTTATGTGAGATGTGTCACATTTGTGAACAATGTCATTACCACTTTCTCATATGAAGAAATGACCAATACAAAAGTTATAGATCTTGATGAGTTACTCAACTTTGGTTTTTATCACTTTTTCAGCTGAAATCATTTGGGGTACCAAAATCTTGTCTGAAGTTGAATTTTTTTTAAATTTAAAATTTAAATTGCTCAAACTTTTCATATGTATATATTGACAAAACCAACAAAATAAATTGATAGAGAATGATTTTAGAAAATTTTAGGAAAAAAATCATCAGATTTGGAGTTAGTAAGTGGAAGAAAAACTAGTTACAAAGTTAACCCACAGACTAAAAAAAGAAATTACATTGTTCACTGTGATCGTGTAAGGATCATCTAGAACAGTGTGATTTCTCTTCTTAATCTATGGGTAAACTTTATAACTAGTTGTTCTCTCTCATACTAATTCCAAATGTATTGGTTTTTTTTCCTAAAAATTTCTAAAATCATGCTTCAGCATTTAAGTTTGATCAAACTTGGATGTGACAATGTTTTACACATTTTAAAATTTGAAATTTTATAAGTTCAAACTAAATTTTTAAACCTTAAATGATTTCAGATGTAAAAGTGATGAATACAAAAGTTGTTCAACTCATCAAGATCTACAACTTTTATTTTGGTCATCTTGGCATTTGACAAAATTTGAACCTTTCAAATTTGAAATTTTAAAAAATGACAAGTTCGAACCAAAATTTGAGACCCAAAATTATTTCAACATAAAAAGTGATGAATACCAAAGTTGTTCAACTCATTAATATCTACAACTTTTATTTTAGTCATCTTATCATTTGACAAAATTTGAACCTTTCAAATTTAAAATTTTAAAAAATGACAAGTTCGAACCAAAATTTGAGACCCAAAATGATTTCAACATAAATAGTGATGAATACCAAAGTTGTTCAACTCATGAATATCTACAACTTTTATTTTGGTAATTTTTTCATTTGATAAATTCTTAGCATACATTATTCACTAATCTTATACATGTCTCATAGTTTATAAAACCTTATGAGAGATGTGTCATATTTGTGAACAATGTTATTACCACTTTGTTATATGAAAAAATGATCAATATAAAAGTTGTAGATCTTAATAAGTTATTCAACTTTGATATTTATCACTTTTTCAGCTGAAATCATTTGGGGTACTAAAATCTTGTCTGAAGTTGTATTTTTTTGAAATTCAAAATTTAAATTGCTCAAACTTTTCATATGTATATATTGACAAAACCAACAAAATAAATTGATAGAGAATGATTTTAGAAAATTTTAGGAAAAAAATCATCAGATTTGGAGTTAGTAAGTAGAAGAAAAACTAGTTACAAAGTTAACCCACAGACTAAAAAAAGAAATCACACTGTTCACTGTGATCGTGTAAGGATCATCTAGAACAGTATGATTTTTCTTTTTAATCTGTGGGTAAACTTTATAACTAGTTGTTCTCCCTCATACTAATTCCAAATGTGTTGGTTTTTTTTCCTAAAAATTTCTAAAATCATGCTTCAGCATTTAAGTTTTATCAAACTTGGATGTGACAATGTTTTACACATTTTAAAATTTGAAATTTTACAAGTTCAAACAAAATTTTCAAACCCTAAATGATTTCAGATGTAAAAGTGATGAATACAAAAGTTGTTCAACTCATCAAGATCTACAACTTTTATTTTAGTTATCTTGTCATTTGACTAAATTTGAACCTTTCAAATTTTGGCTACTATTTATTCGTGTGCCATCAGTAGGGGCGGCTGGTGATTCAGCCGCCCCTACAGTCGAACAGCAGGGGCGGCTGGTGGCAGCCG